TGATGTTATGGTTATGTGTCTTTTATTGCCATTCATTTTATATATTTTGTAGCAAGTTTTGAAGCTGTCCCACAGAAATTATATTATTGGCTTGATTTGAAAGTTTTCTTGTTTTTTTTTAATCATAGCTGTTTTGGGGCAACTCTGTTTATTTGTTTCCATAATGGGCATCTCAGTGTGCCACAACTTGTGACACCATCATTGCTAGTCTTTTTTACTCGTAAAATTGGGATACAATATTATCTCTTGAATGTAAAGTGATGGACCAAGAATTGGAATTGAAAAAAAATATTGTTTATGATTGTAGGATTCATGTTTATAATGTGACTAAATTTCAGATTGATTGAACAAAGTATTAGTCATACTGTGCTGGGTGTTCTACTACAGTTTTTCATTTCCACTCTATGGTTTTAATATGGATATCAAACATTGCTGCTGAGTTATGGCAGTTAGTTAAAACTATGATTGAATTAGTTCAAATTCTTGTTAGTATAAAACCATGTTTACATGAGGGGCAGTAACAAGGGCAAACTTTGTTAATTGATCATGTTCCAGTTCACACATTGGGAATGTGGGTAGCAGGTATACAAGTGGATTATATCATAGGTGTGGACCCTGTAGTAGTGACCAAAACCAGCTAACTCGGTATTGCTCAATCTGTTAACTCTTGGCTGCCAGGAGAGTATATACATGCATTTCAAACTCTGTGGGATTTTATGTACAGAAAATTTTATTCATTTTCTGTACATATATATGGCTCCTCAAATGCTTAATGTCACCAAGGAGTCAGTTACTTGGCAAACCTGATCTTGAGTGTTTACCCATTTCCATTTAAATTATGAAAAAAAAAATCTTTACATTAGTAATAACAATATAACACATCATGTTAATAATGATAAGAAACAGTAATGATGTGAATAGTATTTGAAAAAAAAAAGGAAATCAAGAAATGGGGTAGTCTGGTAAGATCAGACAAATCTACTAATTTACTTCTTGATGGAGCCATTAATGTGTAAAAAAAATCATAAAGCTAAATTACAGGGAACTGCACTGACTCAGCACCAATGGGTTAACACTGTTTAAGAATTGAGGAATATATATGCACAGCAGCCAGTACCTGTGTAAGCTGTCCCTTGTGTGGACATGGCTTATAGGATGCTCTCTTGAATGTATAAAGAAATTGAATGCAATAAAAACTTCTTAAATAGAAAAAAATAAACAGTCTTAATGATGTAGTATTTGCAAAAGCCTCATTTGGTCTCCGTTTTCATTGATTACAGTCAAGTTTTTAGCTTAAAACGAATGCTGGGGAATGTATAACTAACTTGTGTTTAACTCATCATTTATTTCTTCAAAGGAAATGACTTAAGGAAAAAAAATCCTCCACAGCACAAAGTGCAATAAACAAGATTGTCATCATATATAAAGGGAAATGTGAAGTCCATGAATTCAGCTAGGGCTATTTTGCCATGGACTAATTTTAGTGTAATGGGATTAGATTGACCGAGTATAAAGATAAGATTTTCTAATTATTTATAAAATCAACAGCTTTACTTTACCAGAACATTTATTAATGATTATAGTTTCTATTAACTTGTTCATAGGATCTAGTAACAATTTTTTAAGCCATTTCTGTGTCAAGTAATTGGTTTTACTATTATCAAATACAGTTACTATGAAAAATTCTGGACCTATCCATAGAATGCTTATGGATCAGGGTTCGATAGTTTTCAGGAAATTTTAAAATATGGGAAAGGCATATGTTCATGTGTTATATGGTGGATGAAAAGAGTCTTTCAAGTGTTCCTCAACCATTCTATGAAACAGATATGCAATTCCTCAGTACGTCAGTATACCAAGCCTTTCGTATAGTTGTTTACCCAGTCTGTCATGAATTGGGACTGTTTTAATGGTGAGATGACTGGAGGGTTGCTTTTCTTACTGAAAGATAAGAATGAAATATTGGTGTGTTTGATAAAGATTTATTCTATTGAGAGGAAACTTGGACAGGTGAGTCTTTTTAGCAGACTGAATAAAATAATTTGATTTTGATATTGCTTCTCTTAAATTTCTTCATTTCCTAAAGACATGTTAGTCAGTTAGTAACTAGTGTTTATTATGATGATAAATATCACTGGGCAGGAAAGTATCTGATTTTTTCACACACAGACTTTCCTGATTAGCTGGCAGACTAAGAAGCTATTCTGTTAGTGAGCAAAATTCTTGTTTGTGTGGATGTGGCTTAACCCTGTGCTGTCCACTGTAGTTTTGTTTTACAAATGTTGTTGGTACAGAGATGGCTTCAGAACTGCTGAGCCACAAAGGAGTCAATTAGTAGCCCTACAGGACCTCACCTGATATACCTGATATACCTGATATACCTGATAATTGAATTTTCCCCCCTAAAATTATTGATACTAGTACATTTTTATTATTGACATAATGAATATGATAGTAATTTTAACAATATTATTTTAAAAAGGACATACAGCACTATGGTAAAGTATTGTAGTGAAATGGGTGAATGAGTTAATGATTATGATAAAGAATGGTAAATGTCAAAGGTTTTAGTGTTATAGGATACTATGATAGGGAAAAGGGTAGAGGGGGTGCAAATGAAGTAAATTGGAGATTAATAAAAGAAAGGGTTAAGAGTATAGGGTGATTGCATGGAATGGGGTGTATCTGTTGCTGGGGAAGCTATAGGAACCTTGGTTTAACGAAAAACTGGTAAAAGAGCTATTATGAAATAATCAACAGGTAATATAAGTAGAGATGGCTGCTGAAGAAGTGAGGTAGATAGGACAAGTAACAGACACCTTGGTGGAGTCCTCTTTATGTACACAAAATCAATACACTAAGTCACAGGAGACATGGCATGTAGATCATGTCATCCCAACATCAGTAAGTTCAATATCTTGAGTCTTGTTCCTTTCCCTAATCCAAGAAATATATATACACATTTGATTTTGTTTTATTAGTCAAAATGTTCTTGTCAATATTACAGCAAATGTTTCCCTGTTTTGAAAAGAAAAAAAAGTACTAATGCATGTTAATTGTTCTTTCCAACAAAACCTAGGCGCTAATAAAAGCTTTCCAAATTCATTGTACTGTGACCTTTACCCCCTTAGTGATGGGCACACCTACATTTGTCATGACATATGACATGGGTTGGCTGTACACAACACATGCGCAGCCAATAAGGCTATACTGTTGCATAATTATTATGTCACAGAAAAGTATGGCCCTGTTATGATAGGGTTAAATGTATATACACTGAAGAATGCACAATCTCCATCCTCTAAATTTCCATTCCCAGTAATTACCCAACTAATAATTAGCAGCCAAACTGATAATATAAGTTGTATACCTCTTGTGAAGGCAGAAATAAACTGTTGGATCCAGGTGTATCAGTGATGCTGCATTTGGAACTCCTTGTCCAAGATGTTGACTGATTTGAACCCCTACTCTAGCATCTAGGACAAATTATTCTCTCGTCCATTTTGCCATCCTTTGCAGCCAGGCAAGCTAGATGAAATTATGTCACAGGTGCATTTGTATGTAAAGAATTGCCTACAACCATATTAGAAGGTAATTTTATGGGCCTTTATTGTCAGTTGCAGGTAAGTTAGCTATGCATAATAGGAGTTGCAAAATCTAATGCTGCTTGTATGATAAAACAGTTCATGTTTACTTTTGAGCTGGACAATGAAGGCCTCGTTGTCCTGCAGGTCCTGACAAGCAAAACTAGGGAGTTCAAAACACAGCAGAAGTACGTAGACTAAAATATTTAAATGGCAACTCTCAGAGGTGTGGCTTGTAGGCCCAGCCCCCATTTCCCAAGTTTTTTAGTTATGCAGTATCAAGATGGTAATAGTTTTTGTTCAGCAAATTCTATATGAGCTGTAAGTAGTTCACGTTGTGGACTAACAATAACAAGAATGGTTAATGGTTAAAATAAATGTGCTAGACATCTAAGGTCATATAGTACTATAGGAAGGTATAGTAAAGGGGATGACAGGTGATAGTTGCCATGTGTCAACTATCTAGAGGAGTGTTGAAAGGTTGAAGATGGGGGAAAAGGTTATGGTGGTTTAGGTAAGGGAATTAGATCAAGTGAAGGATATTTATGCATCTGAGGAAGGAAAACAGGTTGTCAAGACAGAAGCTGTGGGATTCTGTAAGGATGTCTGATATGTTGGGAGGTCGGCGAAGGGAGGATAGGTGTGGAAAAGCAGAGGTATGTGCTGTACCTCTACAAGAGAATGTGAGGAACTGAAAGAGGGATGTTACATAGAGGACTCATAGCTTATGAGTGATATCGCATATGGTACGTATTGGGAAATCTGGGGGAGAAGGAGCTAGGGGGTGTAAAGGAGCGGTATTAGGAGGTAGGGAATTTGGAGAAGGGCATTGTTGTGCCATGAGTGATTCTCGTGTGTATCCGGGAGGGAGTGCAAAGGATAGAGGGGATGGAGGGAGGGAGAATGTGCCTGTAGTTGGGGTTGAAGGGGGTGGGTTGTGTTGGGAGGGAGTAGATGTGGGGGGAGTATTAGTGGTAGGAGGGTGGATATCGGAAGGATGGATAGTTGGAGTTGAAGGGGATGTGTTGTCTTGGGAGGGATTAGGTGCTGTGAGTAAGAGGGGGATGGGTATTGGGAGGATGGGTATTGGGAGGATGGATATCAGGATGGGTATTGGGAGGATGGAATTGAGGGGGTTAGGTTGTGTTGAGAGGGAGTAGGAGGAAGGGGTGTAGGGGGAATATTAGTAGGAGGGGTATGAATATCGGCAACCACTTCAAGTGTGGAAGGAGCAAGAGTTATGGGATCTTGTGTCTTAAGCATATAACTTTGGATGTCATCCTTTGTTTCTGCAGTGGAATTGGTTGGAGAGTTTTGTGGGATAAACGTTTTCTTATGAGGGGGGGAAGAGGAGACTGGTGTCTCAGGAATTAAGGTAAAGGTAGGTGGAGGTGATTGTGCTGTAGGGGAAGAAGGGTTAGAACGTTTAGTCTGTCTACTGCGGGTAGTGCGGGGAGGGAGAGGGGTTGGTGTTGGGGCTGTAGTTGAGATAGGAGCTGTGGTTGAGATTGGTGTCTGGGTTTAGAGTGGCAAAGGAATTGGTCTGAGGGAGGTAGAATGTAGAAGTGGAAATGGGGACATCTTGGGGTGGAGGGGGAGGGGCTGAGCGAACGATGTTACTAGAGTAAGGAGTATGACCTTTAGGAGGAATGGTGTAGCAATGTACTGATTTCACATCTTGGTCTTTGAGGCATCCTAATAAGTCTTCTCCACAGTCTAACTAATCTTTGGTATCGAATGGGCAGTTTGCTGGGGAGAGAGAGAGTTCCAGTACAGGTATTAAGGGTTGGATGAGGTTCTGCAGGAATGGGGTTGCCAGAATGACCAGTTAAATTTGATAGTGCTATAGATTCAGTTTCTGATCTGACTGTTACAAGACGGGAGCGATCGCGTCTGGTATAGAAAGGGACTCTGCCTACTTGTTTTTGGAGGCATTGTTGAAAGAAGTGTGTTGCCTGATTAAGGAGCTGTAGAAGGGATCACGAAAAATCGGTCTCATTTAGCTGGGCTAAACAGAGTATTTAAGATATCTGTAGGGTTGGTGGTGGTGGATGGTCGGGGACGTGTGGAAGAGGGAGTATTACGGAATGATGGAGAATAAGGCTGCAAGGTAGTAATAAGGGAGGATTGGTTGCTTGATGAAGGTTGCGGGGGGTAGAGTTGATGAATTTGAGGAAGTTGGGTGGGTAGGAATATCTTCTGGAGATTTATTCTCTGCTTGAGTGGGTAATGTACTAGTAGGCATTGAGGAGAGGGTAGTAGTTTGTGTTCGGAGCCGTGGTCAAAGGAGAACCTGGGTTGGGGCTATTTGATAAAGGGGCTAGCCTCATTGCCTCTAATAAAGGGATTACATTTTCATTACTGGTCATGGGGAACCTGGATTATATAAAAGGCATCAACTGGTCCACCTCCATCGCTAGTGAAAGGTAAGGGCTAGATTAATCGGGAGTACCGTACCCATAGTTCCCGCAGGCCGTTTAGGACTGCCACAAGGTCAGCCTTTCATCCTCTCAGCACGGCTCTCACACCTTAGGAAGTAGATAGTAGAAGGGATGGAAACAAAAGCTGGAGGGGGAAAAGACCATGCAAAATTAGAAGAGTCGAGGGCTGAGGCCCTAGGCAGGGGAGATCCCTGCATTGGGTCTCAGTCTCCGTCTCCTAAGCCCCCCCCCCCACGACAACAACGGGCAAGGGATTGGAGGGGACAATAACAAGAAACCGTTGTGGTATTTTTATTTCATAGTATTGTGTGTGTTTAGTGTCCTCCCTGTAATGACCCTCTCCCAGGTATGGTTCACAGATTTATACTCTATCCTTGTGGACTGGTAGAAATTGTGCAGGAGCTACCGAGCTGGCCCATTCCTTGAAGGCTCATTGAATATTTCTGTTGCTAAACAATTTCCCCATGGCAAGGCATTTCCATCACCTGCTTTTATTCATATTAAGTCAACACTCAAGATCCAATGGGTTAAAATTATCTGTTGCAAGACAGACATGCTAAACAGAGAATATACTTTCAGTATGATCAGGCTAACTGCAAGGACTTTTTTGCATTAGTTTTCACATTAAATACTTGCAAGAAATGAAAAGCATTTTTTATAAGAAATGTTATGCATCATTTCAGTAGTAGTTTTCTTCACTGCAATGAACTGTAAACTAAAGGCCTGTCCACACAAGTGGGCATAATCAGTGGGCACCTGGGTGGGCAAGAGAAAATGACTGGTGAATACTTACTAGGTAAACAAGTAGCTTTCTCGTTTTCTAGCCCGCCCACAAGTCTGCTGATCACACTTGCTTGTGTCGACATACCTTTAAACATACAATTAACTTCAAACAAGTACTGTGCTTGTTTGTACTATAGTCCATTTCATACATACTGTGGCATACTTTGTAGAAGCCTATTATATATGTGAATATTTTTTTTTTATAGAAAGGAATCATTGTTGGAAAGGTTGGTTGTGGCCATTCTGCCAACTTAGAGAGGTAGGGAATATGCAATTACAAACAAGTCCTATTTTCTCAGTTTGTTTGTGCCTCAATATTAAGTTCAAAGCAAATAATTCCTTCTGCTTTCTAGACAATTTCAAAACTTTTATTACTTTCTCACACCCTGTAAATCCTCTTAGGTTTAATTTTCAGAAGTATAAATAAGAAAAGAATTAAACTTATAAATTAATAGAGTGAAATGTAAGTACACCTTATTAAGCTTAAAAAAGAAAAAAAAAGGGCCTTTGTCCTTTATGAAACGGGAAAACTGTCTTTCAAAGGGTGAATGAAAAATCCAATACATTACAAGACATTTATATTGGTTCTTAAGTCACCCATGGTGTCCCTTCCTTCTAACCTTAAAACAACTGGATTTGAATAACAATTTCAAAAAATAAACTTCAGAATCATATAAAAGTGGTGTAGAAGTCACTGGACATAGACAAAAATTTGTAGACAACAGTAATTGTCAATTGATGTAATTCTAGTTATAGCTTTTATATATACACATCTTCAAAAGTAGAAGCATATTGGTACCCATTAATTGGCATATAATCTCTTGCAAATATATTAATTACAACTTTTCAAGTCACAATTTGAGACATTTGTGTAATGAAACTACTACTTCTGTACAGAAGTCTTTTCATTTTGATGTACCTAGATTATATAAATTGCATCAGCAATGCATACTTCAACAACAAAAATAAATAAATAAAAATACAAAATATAACTTCAAAACAATACTTCAACATGAACGAAATTTCTCAAATGGTATAAGAGACCACTTGATAAAAGAAAGAAAAAGATCGGCTTTTCTTAAGAACAACCTTTATATGCAACATGTAATGGAATATGAGATTTTAAAAAAACTTGATAGCACTTTCAATATATATATATCTTCAGCCGATTCTTTCAGTACCAGAGTTTAGGGGGTCTAAGGTCGAGGAGACACCAACCAAACTTAGAAAGCTACGACTATTACACACACCTTTGGGAAATGAAACTGATACCTCACATAAAAAAAGGCCAGACAGCCATAGAAAATTAAGCCACGGAGGGGATTTACACTGACACAAATTGCTGGCAATGTTTAATAGACTCCTCAGATGATGGCAAGCACGTCTTTCCACTCCACAGACCCTTTCACTAATTCTTATCATGTATTTTGAATTAAAATATCAGTTAATCCACAAAAAGATGATAGTTTGTACAGCAACAGTGCACTTCATAAAAGAGTTACTGAGGTTCACTTGGAAAATGTAAATACAGCTTGGATGCCAGTTTTAATTTGTGTTTCCTTACAATTCAGTTTTAAATTAAATCCTAATATCAAAACCAGAGAAAGTCTTAACACTTATCACATTAATATATTTTCCTTACGGAGTAACCTATAGCTGTTGCCATTTAAGATTTCTTTCTCTCCTTTCCTTTCCACCTCTTTATCGTTCCATGCCAAATTCATGGGCATCATCATCAGTGATGTCACCATACTGCCAGATGTTCAAGTGCTTCCTCTTGGCTTCTTCTTGGGCTGTACGGTATTCACTCACCTAGACGAAGAAATTAAATAATGGGTTCATTTAAGAATGAGAGAAGGAAACAAACATACATGCCAAAGCAAAATTTACACCTTACCTTGTATTTTGACTTTTAAAAGGAATTAAAAATCAATTTTAGTTTCTGTGACAAATATTAACTGAACAAATTAGCGAAGAAATCTATCTCACCACAGACTGCAGCCGTTTGTCTTTCCGCTCATCCAACATCAACAGGCCTTGGGAAATGAGCGTCTTTGCAACATCTACTTTTGTGTCTGATCGTTGGATAGAAACGTATTCAGCACCAGAAAGACGATACTCGCGATTAATTAATACCTCACGATCCATCACTTCATTCATGAAAGCTGCCAATGCATCTTCAAGAAAATCTTCCTGAAAATTAAAAAATCTACATTAGTGCTTCATTATTCAATGGATGTGGTAAAAAAAAAAAAAAAAAAAAAAAAAGGAAGATGAAAACAACTACCCATTTATGAGAACCCAGAAGCTTTAGAATAACACTAAGTCTTACATCTTTGCAGAATTTCACAAGTGCCAGATGGAATTCATGAGCATAGCCTGGGGCAGAGTGGAAGCCCATGGGGAGAGCTGCACACTTGACAGACTGGGTGTCTTCTCTGTTGCCATAGTCAATATATCTAACACTGACTTTGCCGGCAGCAACCTTCTCTACCTTTGCACGATACCAAGATCCATCAATGAACTGGGCTGCACACAGCTCATCTGTTGTAAAAGAAAAATATGATAAAATTAAAATGTGTATTATCTGAGGGAGTGGGAGGTTACCCCTGATCATGACCAATTGGTTTTCTGATTAGGAGACTGTATAATTATCAGATCTAGTGCAGTTCTAAGTTTATTTTTTAAAGCAAAGGGGGCCTTGTATATACATCATTATGTTGGGAAACATATGATTGATGGTGATGACATGAGAAACAAAATACTGGAACCACTGACAAACACATGAAGGTAATAGGGTTGGTATTCCCAAGAAGCCAAAGAATTTGACAAATTTAAAACACTGACTCGAGATTGTCATAAATTTGCCTGTGACTTGGCCTAAAGACTCGGCAGTATAATATATGACATTCCAAAGTTAACCCACTGATGCCAAGATAGCATGTACAGACATGTCATGTTCACCAATTTCAGTGCATTGCACTTAGCACTTAGCTAAAACTAAAATTTGCATTCCATCATAAACCCCATAATAGTGTACTCCAACATTTCTAGTCATTGCACAAGCTGTGGAGGTGTCTGGTTCCATTTTTTTTGGAAGAGAAAACTACAGTAAACATCTAAGAAAAGGCACAATTAAGGTTTTATAATCTTTAAAAAGTAGCATTGAAGTTTTCCCGAGTCTAGCAAGTTTGGTTTAACCAGAACCAGAACCAGAACTAGACAGAACCAGCCAACCAGAGCCAGCACTAAACAAACATAAGCTTAAGGCCACTTTTGATAAATTATCAAACATGGTTCTGGTTCTATTATTATTAACCCATTCGTCCCGGGTGTCACATATATGAGACACTGGGTAAAATAAACAATGTCGGGCTGACCGCCAGTGCAATGCTGTCTCGGGGCTGCGCTCCGAGGCAGAAGCGGCACGCGGCCGGGCGGGCGGACAGACTCCGGGGAAGCTCCGCCCATTTTGTAGCCGCCCAGATTTTTTAAATTTTGGCTACAAAATGTACCCGGCGTGACTGGGTTAACAAAACAGAATAATCTTCAACAGGGAAATTTGCATAAAACCAAATTCAAGACAGTCCTTACTATTTGTGAATAGAAAATAGCAGTAAAATATAAGAAACAACTTATTTAATATATATATATTTTTTTCTGTCAGATTCAATCCAGAATTAACTTCAAAATTTTCAAAGATTCAGTCAAAGTTTTTAAGACAGCTGTGGAAATGTCCCACAGGCGTCAGGATTGTCTTTTAAAATTGTAATGCAAATTTATTCAAAATTGGAAGATAAGTTTGCATTGAATAGGATAAAAAAAAACTTGAGACCCTTTTGATGGATTGTAAAAATGTTAATTTAGTTGTTTCTTATATTTTACTGCTATTTCCAATTCACAAATAGTAAGGACTGTCTTGAATTTGGTTTTATGCAAATTTCCCTATTGAAGATTATTCCGCTTTGGAAATAAGAAAAGCTTTGAGGCCACTTTTGATGAAATTATCAAACATTAATTGAGCCTTCTCCTATGTTTTTATTGCGGTCTTTTATCGAAAAAACAAATAGCATCGCTGCCTTTTCAGCTGATGCAATGACAATAAATGCAGGTGTGCCACATCACAAAATAATAAATGTAATATTACCATTGTAATAGATTTATTGCAATATTGATCTTATCTTATTATTACAACAGATTGTCAAAACAGGGTCTAACAATTTACATGTTATTTCTACTATCTGCATTAACTTTGAGATGTGACAACAGCAAAAATCAGACGAAAGAAAGAAAGAAAGAAAGAAAGAAAGAAAGAAAGAAAGAAAGAAAGAAAGAAAGAAAGAAAGAAAGAAAGAAAGAAAGAAAGAAGAAAGAAAGAAAGAAAAAAGAAAGAAAGAAAGAAAAGAAAGAAAGAAAGAAGAAAGAAAGAAAGAAAGAGAGAAAGAAAGAGAAGAAAGAGAGAAAGAAAGAGAGGAAAGAAAGAGAGAAGAAAGAGAGAAGAAAGAAGAGAAAGAGAAAGAGAGAAAGAAAGAGAGAAAGAGAGAAAGAAAGAAGAAAGAAAGAGAGAAAGAAGAGAAAGAAGAGAGAAAGAAAGAGAGAAAGAAAGAGAGAAGAGAGAAGAAAGAGAGAAGAAAGAGAGAAAGAAAGAAAGAAAGAAAGAAAGAAAGAAGAAAGAAAGAAAGAAAGAAAGAAAGAAAGAAAGAAAGAGAAGAAAGAAAGAAAGAGAAGAAAGAAAGAAAGAAAGAAGAGAGAAAGAGAGAAAGAAAGAGAAAGAAAGAGAAGAGAAGAGAAAGAAGAGAGAAAGAAGAGAGAAAGAAAGAAGAAAGAAAGAGAGAAAGAAGAGAGAAAGAAAGAGAGAAAGAAAGAGAGAAGAAAGAGAGAAAGAAAGAGAGAAAGAAGAGAGAAGAAAGAGAGAAAGAAAGAGAGAAAGAAAGAGAGAAAGAAGAGAGAAAGAAAGAGAGAAAGAAAGAAAGAAAGAAAAAAGGAATGGAATCTTGTCTTACTTCGCTTAGGTGTGTATGCACCAGCCAAGGGAGGGTTCTTGGTGAACTCTTGCCGGAGTTTTTCCATCAGCTGTTCCAATGCTGGCCCATCAGAGCAATACTGTGCAAACAGTGTGCCATCACGGGATACCTCAGTGATCATTACAGGTTTATAATCGAGAACTCTGTCGTGCTGCAATTCTTCAACCTTTGAAAAGAAGTTGTATATGATGTCAATGGCATATGTCAAACTGAATAAAATAAAACTTACTGATAATCAATGTCATTTATACACCATTATATCAAAATATATAACCTTAAAACTTCACAATCTTAACACCTACCTTTTCTTCTTTCTCCTCTTCAACATAGTTGGCCCAAATGTTTAACTTCTTTTGCTTAGCAGCTGTCTGAGCAGAACTGAGAACATGGTAGAACTTGGAGGACTCTGCTGTAACATGGACAGAACTCAAGCCCTCTTCCACCAAATGTACAGAGAGGTTCTTCTTGTCAACATGCAGCCAACCAATATAGTTTCCTCCTTTGTCCATGGAATCCACCTGTTTCAAACAAAATATTTAACCTTTAGTGACAGGCAAGCAAGCAGGTGGGCTAGCTGTCGCAGCACAAGGCCTACTGGAAAGGCTAGATTGTTATATGATTATGTCAAAATTCTGGCTGTTATGATAGGGTTAATAAAAGGAAGGCATACATGAAAGTTATAATAAAAGATGCTAGTTGTGTAGTGCAAACCCTTGTCTTGAAATCACAAAATTTACCTCAATCTCAACTTCCCGTTGCATAATTAGGCTTTTGCTGAGGTTGAGTGCTTCTTCCCCAAAAGGTTCACCAGGGAGGGTGCCTCCTCCAGGGGCAGGTCTTGACCCTCTGGGACAGCTGATTCCCGCAAGAAGGAATGTAATCAGACAAGTTTCTCGTGGGATGAAGAGTCGGAAGCGAGATCCTGAAGCAACAAATTCCACAACTGCTTCAGTGCGGCCAGCACGCTGAAGGAAGGGCAGGAAACTCTTTGCCTTGCTCACGTCCTGAAAAAAAGATGAAAGAATATAAAATCAGATTATACCTGATCTTAATTCAGATTATTAATCACAAGTACTATAAAGCTCCAGTTTTCATTTCTATCATCTTGTATACAATCAAAAGAGACCATAGATTTTAAAAATCATTTAAATTCTCTATAATATACTTTCTTCACAATCATTTATTAGTTTAGTCAATACTGTTTTCTGTGCAAGTGTATAAACACTACAGTTATATATCAATTGCCAATCAAATCTTTGTTAATTCTTTTTAACACATACTCTTAAAACATAACCAAAGAACAAAGTAACTATTCTATAATTGTTAGCGAGTCAAAATCTATTTCCTATACTTACCCCTGATATGTCTGCAATTCTGTGGATTGGGGTTTCCTTCTTGTTATGTAGTCCCTTGTTCGTTTTGATAGCCTTGGCTTCAGCTGACAACAAGTCGTCATAGCAGCTTGCACGCTGGTCATCATCTTGTCTATACCTGACCACTGTAGCAAGGCCCTTGCTTACCATTGCTTCTGCCACATTGCTAAGAAATATAAAATCACAAGATAAGACAATTATATACAATTAAAAGCCTTCAAAGCAAATATCGAGTGTGACAATTGTTTGCTATACATTGACCCACGGAAATGCTAATACAATAGCAATATTCTAATATAGTCACCTGCATATTCAATATTCATCACTCAGCTGCAAGGATGTGGGTTTCTGAGAAGATGTTTGACAAATATGTATAACATAAGATACAAGGAAAGAAAATGAATGAAAATGAAAAAAAGAAATATCAGTATCATCAATACAAGTGAAATTAATGAAAGTAATGCAAAAAAGAAACTGCTTTTGTACATTTGTGGGATTATATGATGTTTTAATAGAGGTTGGCTCTAAGCTACATAATCCTGAGAGTGAGAAAGGCAATGCTTGGAAGACGAATATTAGGAAGCCAATTGGAATAATTTTGGATAAAAGTATTACACGATATAGAAGAAGTTCCTTGAATCTGTATACAAATAAGCAGTAAGGACTTGCTCTATCATACTGAACTTCTACAGACACTCAAAAGTAATGGTTGAAATTTAGAATAAAACATGATCTCTAAATCTACAACTATAGCTATTAGAAACACAAAAAGCAAACATGAGAACTATTCAAGGTTCTACATAATACCAAATGTATTAGGCAGTCATGCAAAATCATGAAAAAGAAAAGAACTACCTCCAAGTGTTCATAGACAAAAAGGCAGAATATTCTATTTGCTTCAAGCTATTACAAATGTATCTTGGTCAATGCTGCATTCAAAAGTAAATAAAAGAACAAAACTAGTCACCTCAAACACTTCAACACATACCTTCGTTGCACATTTGACATCAAAGTAACTAATTCAATTCCTTTATTCATATGATCCTTTAAATATTAAAAAAAAAAAATACATCATATAGTATGGATATCTACTTATAATAAACAAGAGAAATTACAAACAAGCAGGCACAGACTGGCCAATAATATTTACTCACATATCTCCAATCTTGACAGTGCAGCAAGTCTTCTCAGGGTAATTATTCTGTGCTGGCTGGATAAAATCAACCGTGATTTGGACCTTCTGGCCAATAAGCTTCTTGCGCAAGAATTCTCGGGTCTCAAACAGCCATGGAATGTCATAAAGAGGACGGAAGTTCTTGCCCGGAGCACGAGGACCCTCAGATTCTGGTAGCCTGCAATAATGTTTTCAGACCCTTAAAACATTATAATTATTCTAAACTGTTTTAATATATAGAGTAAAAATAAACCTCCAGGAGTTATTACTGGTACATAATCTTTTTAACAATCAGTTACAAATTCTCTATGGATCTATGAATAATATATAATAGAAAATAAATCTAACAAGTTCTGTACCATTTACTTACCTGGGTGGTCTTATGCTTGCAAGGAAGATCTTCTTGGTGGAGCCGTCCTGACGCTTAACCACCAAAGCATCACCATTTACGACTTCTATGACCTTGCCAGTGAATTCCCTGTCTTTGTCAGCAATCTGTAGATGATCAGATACATAAATATCTTTCAATGTACAAATAAAAGTTAAATTCTGTAAGCGTATTATAAGAAAGCTTGTGTCTTACCACCATTTTCAAGTCATCTTCCATTCCTTCTTTGTTAT